GGTTCAGCTTGTATATGGTGCCTGCTGTTGCTACAGGCCTGTTCCCGGCAGTCACAGGGCGAATCCAGACTGAACCATAAGAACGTCTTTGGAGCCTGCAACCTAGGTAGCACCCCACATGTTGTGCCTAATTTGTCCCTTACCTGGATCCAGAATTCTTTTGGTGTCCACTGAGCTGGAGGGCACTCCCCTACTCCATCTCCTGGGGCCACTGCCATCGTTTGTTTCCATGTTAGGAAGCCTGAGTATGTGGGGGCCAGGCCCGGTCCTGCAGCTGGCCTTCCCTTCCTGCTTACTACTCCTCTTTCTTGAAGCAGTATTCCCTTTATTTCAGCTCTTACAGAAACTGCAACTAATTCCTTTTTGAAGTTTTGAGTTGCCCTAAAATATTTATAAAGTCTAGACATGCACTTGAAAGGAATTTTAGCTTCCAGAAATTGTTTGGCTTGACTCACTGAGGCCTTTTGATGATAAGAACTCACAGAGGGTTTCAGATCAAGTTTTGCTTAATTTAGGGAACAACCCTGTGACGTAAGCTAGCAATCACATACTCATTGAAGGATCAACCTCGGCTGTTCCCCATGAGCCAACAGTGGCTCTTTGCTGCTTCCTGTGTTGATTACACTAGTAGTGGGCTCAGCTGCAGCCCTCATGGGTGGTTTTGTCGACACCTCAGGGACGAGGAAGCCCTGAGCACTGTGTGTGTGTGTGTGTGTGTGTGTGTGTGTGTGTGTGTGTGTGTGTTGATTGGTCCTAAACTAGAGGTGGCAGCAAAGGGACATGGCATTTGACAGTCCAGGAACCAAGAAGGTCCCCTGGACTGTGAACTAGACAGGCGTGATCCTTAGCTCCTCAGCCCAATGCCAGGCCTGGAAACACACATTATTTGTTAAAGGTTAGAAGTTGAGCAGCAAATAGAAACAGGCTGAGTAAAGAAGTAAAGAAGGTACTGCTTCAAGGGGGAGTAGCAAAGACCCAGAAAAAAAGAGAGAAGGAACCCTCAGCATCAGACTCATGCCATTTCTGGGGAGTGGGTGTGTCTATTCTGTTCCATTTGCAGGTATCAGTCCAATCCAGATGCTACAAGGATCTATAATCAACTGTGCTGTGTGGATGGGACTGGTCTTACATCTGCCGCCTTACTGTGACACTTCTACCAGATTATTGGGTTCACAAAAATGTCCTAATTAAGCAATTAATTTGAGGCTTCTTGGAACCAAATCACTTGGTGCCTTGAAAGCATAAGCCTTGGGTTGCTGATTGCTTCTAAGCACCAGTCTCTGATTTCTCTCACTGTCACTATTTATGTAGTAGATGTGGCAATAAATAAATGAATTATGAAATGACTAAAGGATAATATACCATGTGGTCACTCAAAATCACATTTTCAAATGGCATTTGTTGATAAGGGAAAATCCTCATCATGTAATGTTATGTGAAAAAGCAAGAAACTATATCTTGGCACATTAGGGGACCTAAATCAATTCCTTTTGAGTAAATGGACATTTCCGATGAATGAGGTAAAAACCTTGTATATCTGTGCAAAAATGATAAATTTTTATTGAGCCATTGATAAATATGGCTCTTTGGCTCTTGAAGTGAAAAACCATAGGACTGGCGGTCTGGAAGTCCGTGTGCCGTCCAAGCTTTGAGCCCGCTTGGAGCCCAGTTTCCCGATCTGAAAGCTGAGTTGAGTATCTGCTCTAGAGTGGTCCCCGTGGGACTCTGAGCTGTGATCCGACCCCGGACACAGCAGCTGCCATCAAGAACGTCTGACAATGGTTCATATCACTTTGCCAGCCAGTCTTGATCAACCTTGACCTCCCATTGTTTCCTGTCATTTTATAGGACTCTTCTGAGTTTCCAACTCCTGAGCCACTCCTTGCTGCTGCTGTGTAAAGAGGTCTCTTGATTTATCAATCAATTAATCAGTGCCTGCTGAGGAGCTTTTCAGGGTAATTAAACAGTGAAAAACAAAATGCTGGTGCCTATAATCAGGAACAACCCCCCTGCCGCTGATCTTCCTGCCCCCATGGCTGCCCCGCTCTGCCTCCCTCACCCACAGCTCATCACACCCCTTGCAGTCATGAAGGGGCTTCTACCCATTAAAGCTGACAGCAAATATCAGAAGGGCGGGTTTTGTTCTAATGTCCTACAGGAAAATAAGCCTTGAAATGCCCCATCACTTATTTGCAAAAATTATTTAATCTCAAAAGCCTAACCAGGTCCCAAAGATGGCCTAATGGCTCTGTCCATGTATGCAGATACTGTAGTCCCATAGTTGTGCAGCCGGAAGGACCTTGCAACACAGGCCAGGGCCATGTGTGACAGAGGAGAGGTTCAGTGAAGCTAAGTTACCCAGAGTCAGCCAGCTCATTAGTAGCAGAACTAGACCCAGGACCCAAATATTGTGATGCCCACTTAACACTTGTAGTGCTTATTTCTCTGTGGAATTCTGTTTTCCTATAAAAATTATAGCAAAGTAAATGAAAGAAACCATCCTCACAAAATCCATATTCTAATTTCTTTCAGAGATGGGCTTCTCAGCCAAAGAGGTTTTTAAAAATAGTTTTAGATGAAATTTGTGTGGGAAAAGTATCTTAGACTATGAAGGAGATGTTTTTCTTTTAGTTGTTTAGGATATCAGATACACGCATGCAGGCGTGGCCAGTTCACCGTGGCACACGACGAGCACAGTGAGCCTGCAGAGGTTTGCTGGGCTGGGTCTCTGGTCCGGAGTCTGTTCAGTTTGGTTTTCTTCCAGTGGCACATGGCACACAGCACTAACGAGGCTGGGATTGTCTTATAATAGGATCTCTGTTCTGGGTCACAAGTAGCAAGCTTCTCCAGCCGTTACCAACTTTCCATGGGTCACAGGGGCCAGGTGGCCACATGCCTCAGTCCAGAATGGCTGCAGTCGCCCATCATACCTGGGCAAACACTTTTGTCTACTTGGGAGGATCTATGTATGGCTCTAATTCTTCAGTGGACACAGTGAAATCTGGAATGTTCTTACTTGACTGGCCTGGTGAGGAGAACACTTAGAAGTGTTTTTTTTTTTTAATTCCTTAAAGCCTCCGCTATAAAAATCTTACATTTGTTGTCTAATGTGTTTGTCAACTAGAGGCTCTTCTGCTAGTGTGCCTGCTCTTTTCTGTTGGATGTCAATTAAGCGCCAACTCTGGATACATCCAGGGCTTAACTCATAAGCCAGACATTGACTTGTACTTACCAGACTTGAGTTATAGGCTCTCCTTTTTTTTCTGCTTGTGTGTTCTCTAGGACCCTTCTTTCTCAGCTGTGATTCACGACAAACTCCAGGTCCCCAACACCATCCGGAAGGCTTGGAACGACAGGGACAACCGCTGTGACATCTGTGCCACGCACCTGAACCAGCTGAAGCAGGAGGCCGTCCAGATGGTGCTGACCTTGGAGCAGGCAGCTGGCAGCGAGCACTACGATGGCTCACCTGGCTCACCCCCACTGCTCTCCAACATCCCCACCCTGGTGGGGCCTCGGCAGGTGGGTGGGCTCCAGCAGCCCAGGGAGTGGGCCTTTGTGCCCGCACCCTGTGCTTCTTCCAGCTACACAGCCTTTGTCACCGCCAGGCACAGCAGCAAACCCAACAGCCTCGGGGTCAGCAGTGGGGCAGAGAAGAAGAGTGGGTCCCCGACCCACCAGGCCAAGGTCAGCCTCCAGATGGCCACCAGTCCCAGCAATGGGAACATTCTTAACTCAGTGGCAATCCAGACTCACCAGTATTTGGATGGCACCTGGTCCCTATCGAGAACCAACGGGGTCACCCTGTACCCCTACCAGGTAAGCAGCCTCTGAGCAGGAAGAATGGGGTTGGCTGGAGTCAGAGTGGATAAGTGGACAGCAACTCCTTTTCCCACTCCTGTCCTTCTGGGAACTCCCTAACCCAGAGCCTAATCTTTGCATATGGGGCTTCTAGATGTTGCTGAATAAAGATAAAATATGCAGGGGACCAGAGGTCCACAATAGCACTGCTTCCATTGCCTGCACCATCTAAAGGAGGTGTAGGCTCCCTTCCTACCCTCTCCTACCTTGACAGACCATTACCCTTTTCTATATGCAACTCACCTTAAATACCATTGGGAATAGATTACCAAATGTGTTTTCCCCTTTTCTTATTTTCACAGTTATTTAAATTAACATTTACTCCCAAGTTTCCCTATAGAAACGAGTGAGTGGGTATTAAATCAGTGAAGGAGTCTAAAAAAATTGTCTTAATTTTTCTTGGGTGAGTTTTGTGTTGGGTGAGGACTGGGCTTACCTTTTAGGTCCCGTGGCCCCTGTGTTAGTCATGAGGGGAGCAACAGAAAGCACTGCCCGTCCCTGTGGAGTGCAGAGGTGGCTATGGTCATGGAGTGTCAGTCAGGGAAGCTAACTAGTATAACAGATGATCTCAGGCCATTTCCTACTCGGTTTCCCCATTACACTGGGTGTTCGGCAGGGGGCCTTCAATCATGATGCAGAGACTCAGGCTCCGCTGTCACTTTCCAGGGGCTTCAGAGCCTTCCACCAGATCAGTACAACCAGCTAGGCAACAAGGGAAGGGAGAGCCTGCAGGTTCTCACAGGGGACTCGGTGGCCCAGCCTAGAAGGGGCATACATAACTTGCATCCACATTCCAGGAGCAAGAATCCAGTCTCCTTCCCCACCTACCACAGGGGAGGCTGGGAGAGCCAACTTGTCCGTGGGCCCAGGAGGGAAAAAGAAACAAGTTGAGTGAACACATAGCATAGTTTCTGTTACGTGGGGCAAAGGTAGAGGGGAGCATAAAATGATTAAATGTATCTGATAAAATTCCTGGTGACTTCTCTAGAGTGGAAGAGGGAATATAGATTTTTTCTGTTGATATCTTGAAAGAAAGTGGGGAGTATGGATCATTATCTTAAGAAATTAGTGTTCTTGACCTGCCAAACTTTTCATTTACTGGTATCTTTGTAGTTTACAAAATACAGTACACACATCATTTTATTTAACCCCACAATGGGCCTGTGAGGTAGGCAGGGCAGATGTTACATCTCTTTTACAGATGGGGAGCATGGTTCTTAGAGAAACTGAATGATCTGTGGCCGCACAGTCAGTGACAGGATCAGCACCAGCTCTCCCCTGCCCAGGGCAATGGGCTTCCCTACGGCAGAGCAATCTCCTATCCACATCTTTACCATATATGGCTCCTTTTCAGACAGGACATACCAGAGAAATGGACTTCTATTTTGACCTGCAGGGGCCTAGCTGTCATTTTACCCTCAGTGGAATTTTCTGGGTGTTTGGAATTTGTGGATGTAAAGAAGAACCCTTGCTGGGCCTTCATAGCCTGATGCTTGCCCATACCACGTAGAGCAGGAACACGCATCTTCTTTCTGTTGTTGAATACCATGCTTCTTTTGTTTGCAATTTTAAAATACAGCATTTTGAAAATTATAGAGGTGTCTGTTGCAAAATAAAAGAAATACGAAAAGTATAAATAACTTGTAGAAAATCAATAGCACCCAGAAAGAGACTATGTAACATTTGAGTATATTTCCTCCCAGTATTTTATACACACATACAATTTATAAAATTGTAATTATGTTCAATTCTGTGATCTGCTTTTCACTTAATATACTGGGTGCATTTTCCCATTGGCATTATGTATTTTTCTAGAATGTGGCCCTTAGTAGTAGCATAATATTCCATTAGATGACCACTATCCATTATATAAGGATGTCCTAATTTATAGAACCAAAGCACCAATTACCAGAGTTTTTGCTTCTATAGATAAAATGCTCTGGTGCACACGCTTCTACCTAGGTCATGTTTTTCAATCCAGCCCAGGTTGTGCCAGCCACATACTCATGTTACACAGACAACTCACACTCCACCTTCGTGGGCCCCAGAGCACTTGTAACGCATGTCAGGTGCTGGTTAGAAGACTCAGCTGCCGCACAGTGCTGGTGAGCAAGCACAGAGGGATTTGGGACTGGTGCTTTCTCGTAAAATATTGAAGAGCTGGGGATGTGTGGGTGAGACAGGGAAAGCTGCTTGAGAGGCAGGTTAGGGATTGACACTGCATTTCTTTTATTTGTGCAGTAAGTCTTTCTGCTCCTCCTCTTTTTCTCCTAACTCAGATGAAAAAGAATTTCTTGTACAATAGTGTTTGTTAAGCTTTAACCGAGTGCCAGGCACAATGCTTGGTTTTTGGTGGGGCTCCTGCTTTGGGCTGGAAACCCACATTCCTGTCCTGCTGTCCTTAGGGGAAGAGGCAGCTGGACTGCACATTATAAGCCAGGGAGGTGAGTGCAAAGGTGCAGAGGCACACGCTGCTTTCTTTGCAAGTGCACAGAAGGGCTCACAGTCCAGGCGGGGCAGGGGTGGGTCAGTGTGGCCTAAAGCCATATTCATAGTTGATGCATGTAAGCCATAACTTGAGATTGTCCTGGGAAAATTTGATTGTTTTTGTCCAACTCCAAAACAGACTGATTCATGCATTTCCCCTGAGTAATAGTTAAAGGGACCACAGGAAATCTCTCTGGGATAAAGGGATTTGGTGCCTGGCTGTGAATCTCTGTCACCCTGGTGCCCTAGGATGGGGGCTCTGGGTCTGGCCAGACTGAATGTCTCCTGCTGTGGACATCTCCCTGCAGTAAATATTCTGCAGTTCACAGGCTAGCCGGCTCAGCAGAGATGGTTGACTGCTCTGGAAGCTGACCTCACTTGTCCTGCTATCCCACACTCCTGCTTCCCTCCCCAAAGAGCAGACAGCTCTGGATCTGTGCCAGAGCTGTTCCTTGGGCAGAGAAGGGTCTAGACTCTGTCACAACTGAGGTTCTGCTCTACACCCAGAGACCTGGAGCCTTCAGATGCATGAGAGAGGACACTGACTCTCTGGCACTGCGGTGAGAGGCAGTGACAAAGCTGAGGACAGGCTTCCCAACAGTGAGCAGGGTAAAACTTTTGCATGGTTAACACAAAGGTCCCTTGGATCTCTCAAGCCCCTTGTTGTCCCCACCACTTGTCTAAAGCCTGTAACAATCTTTGATTGTCTTTCAAAGAAAGTCTTTCTTCTGTTAGCTTGCAGACATAGAACACAATCTAGACACATACGTGGAAAGTAGAAAATGCTCTTAAACCTCCATCTGACCACATGACCACTGACTTTGAGGAGACATTTCTGGATTAGTTCCTTGTCTCAACCACAGATTAATTACCTCTCTGAATGGCAGCTGCATTTGACATTCATTATAGTAAGTAATTGCAGGACAGACTGTCCACATAACAGTCATAGGATTCTGACCCAGAATCACAGATGCCAGTTGTAGAATGGTAACTGCCCTTCGCGTCAGGCGGGAGGTTTGGAGACGGTCCTACCTAGGTCAAGGCCATGGCTCCACCAGTTGATGAACCTCAGGTGAGTAGCTTCACATCTATTAACACCTGTTTCCTTACCTATGAAATCTCTACCCTGTAGGGTTACAAATAGAAAATGATTAAGAGAACAATGAAAACATTTTGTAAACTATAAGGCAGAGATACCAATATTAGCTGTGTTTCAGCCCTCATTTGCCAGAGGAGGAACCTAAGGCTGAGAGAAATGAGGTTTCTTTTGTTCAGTTTCCTGAATCATAGTCTGATCTTTTTTGCAGGCTTATAATGTAGAGAACATGGATCCCTTTGTTCTCATATTTCTCACAGGAGCCAGCATGTGCAGAAGCAGCTGCTAGCTAGAGAAAATGTCAAGCCCAGGGAAACAAGAGAGGTGTTTTCATGACTGGCCCTAGATTTAGGAAAAAATTCCAGGCCATAAGACCTCTCTCCAGATCACAGGGTCTTTGGTAGAAACCACCAGGCTAACCTTTATCTGAAGTGTCTTAATGATACTCAAGAAATCCTTGGTTGCAGAGAAAAGAATCCAGAAGCCATTTTGCTGCCACACTCAATACAGGGACCTTTGGAAGGGTGGGAGAAATTTATTTCACAGGACTTTGATGGATTGAACATGTCGAGAAAATTCAAGATATTAGGTTAATACGTAAGTCATGAATCCATAATGGATCGTCAATATGATGAAGTATTTAATGTACATTTCTCGAGTTAAAGGAAAATGTACTTGACAAAAATTATCCAGCTTCCTCAAAAAGCATCTATTGGGCTTAGTGTCAGAGATGATGCTAGACTGAACCCTGGCGGAAGTCAGCGTGGGACTATCTCTGTTTTATCTTTAGTTATTAATTGTGCCTAGGAAGCTCATGCACTGTTGAAGTTTACATCCTGAGATAAGGGCAAGAGCGAGTCAAAGAGCACCAATCTGCTGAGCTATCAGGACCTTGAAGTATCTCCTTTCTCTGCAGAGATCAGATGCCATGGGAGGACTGGTGCTGGCCCTTTTATGGAGGACTTCCAAGGGCCACTGTAAGAGGAAGGCAAGACTCGGAGGCTTGCAGGCTCGCCAGCACCCTGAGGCTTTGTTTATGACTGATTCGTGGAAGCTAGAAGAACATATTCTAGTGTAGTGGGTGTCTGGTGGGTGAGGTAGGCCCGCGCCCCTTGCTCTGAACTGTTTTTCGAGGAAGTAGCAGGGGTGGTATTTGCAGGGGGCCAGGAGCAGAGGATTCCCCCTCCCATTCTTTGCTCAGCTACTGGGATTTGAAATGTACCAAGTGTGCCTTTTGGCTGGCCTGTGGCAGTTTCCAGCCCACTTGTGGCCATCTCTGCCTGGCCAGGGAACAGCAGATGGTGTTGCCATTTGACAATTAATGATATCAAAAAGGGTTTTTTTTTAACATCATGGGTTTCTGTTCCATTTTTCATAGATGGTCAAAGGAATATCATTTATCTCTATGCCTTTTGACAAACCATGAACATGAGGAATCTTGTATATTCAGTCACATTCAGTCAGGACAGAGCGTTTCCCAAGGATCTGGTGCTCTGAGTGAACTTCAAAAAGGGTCATCACACCTTATGAATGTGGGCAGGGCCATGGTCTGAAAGGAATACCCTAACTTCAGGAAATTTCAAAAATATTTTTTATCTGGTCGTTTATCTGGTGCAGTAGACTGAGTAAGGGCCCCCCAAAGACGCTCATGTCCGAATCCTCCGAACCTGTGGATATGGTACCTTACACAGTAAAAGGGTTTTGGCAGAAGTGATTAAGGCTTTCGAGACAATGAGATCAACCTCAGATTATCTGGGTGGGTCCAGGGTCATCACAAAGAGGCAGACGGAGGCAGGAACACCTGAATCAGAGGTGATGTCAGGACCGAAGCAGAGGTCAGAAACTAGATGCCATGGTGCCGGCTTTGAACATAGAGGAAGAAGCCCCCAGCCGAGGAGGCAAGGCAGCCTTTGGAAGCTGCTAAAGTCAAGGAATCAGAGTCTCTCATTGAGACTTAGGGTTTTGCCCTCCAGAACTTTAGAGTATAGAGGATGAATTTGCGTTGTCATAAACTGCAAACTCTGTAGTGAGTGTGGCTTCAGCAGCAGTGAGAGGCTAATACACCTACGTGGTAACCTTTGGTAGCTAAGAAGCTAGATGTGCACAGACCCAGGAGTGGCTGTAGAAACCTGCAGTATGGCCAAGAACGCTGGCTTGTCATTTCACACAGCGCACCGCACTGCCCTGTGCATCAGACGGTACATTAGCTAGCCAGATTATTTCATCTGGATGCCTCCCCAGAACGAGAGGTTACTCATCCCGCACGGTTGATTTTCAGTTGTCTCAGATTTCCCTATTATTGTAGTATCATAACAATAAGCACAACACAGCCACTGTTCCCTGTAGATAGTAATTACCATTGTGTAAGTCTGTCTTGCTGTGGAAACTGCAGAAAACATTCCAAGGTCAGGGTGGGAGGGCTTTAGAGACTAGATGAGTGTGTGCAGAAGCAGCCCCCGTTCTCTGCAGGGTCTTTTGACCGGGTTTCACAGAAATGCCCCAGGATCAATCCTTACCTCATCTGGTACTTTGATGATCAAATGCATTTGGAAGCACTTTGAAACTTGTAGAGCCGAATGTGTTAACTGGTATCATCTTTTAATTCAGTAGGCAGAAGACAGCCATTGGAGATTCTGGAGCAGGAGAATGGGGAAATTTCCTTGCCTGACCGCAGGAATTCTTAACCTTGGCTGTGTACTAGAATCCCTTGGGAGCTGAAAAGACATACCAGTGCCTAAGCCACACCCAGACCAATTAAAGCAGAATATATGGAGGCGGTGTCCAGGGTTTGGTTTGAACTGCCAGGGCCAAGAACCACAGCCCTGAAGAACAGTTTATCTGGAAGTGGTGTACTACGTACAGGGAAGGGGCAGTGAATAGACAGATAAATGATAGACAGAGAGAGCCCATTAGTTTCCTAGGACTGTCATAGCGAATTACCACAACTAGGCATCTTCAAACAACAAAATTTTATTCTATGTATTTCTGGAGGCTGGAAGTTCAAAATCAAGGTGTTGGCAGAGCAATGCTCCCTCTGAAGACTCTGGGCAAGAATCCTTCCTTGCTTCCTCCAGCTTCTGGTGGCCCGACTGCCCCTTGGCTTGTGGCTGCACTGCTCCAGCCTCTGCCTCTGTTCACCTGGTGCCTCCTCCTCTTTCTGTCTCTCTCTGTCCCCTCCTCTTACTGTAAGGACACCAGGCACTGGATTTAGGGCCCACCCTAATCCAGAATGACCTTGGCTCAATCCTTAACTAATTACATGTACAAAGACCCTATTTCCAAATAAGGCCACAGGTCATGAGGTTCTGAGTGGAGATGAATTTGGGGGGGACACTATACAAACCACTACAGATTGATGACAAATGGATAGATAGATAAATCAATCTGTCTATAGATAGATGATAGATAGATGGAGGGTAGATAGAATTGAGGTGAGACACACCGGTGCCTCTTTCTTGTTGACATGCTTCTGAGAAAAAAGCAGCAGTGGAGGATTCATTCACATTCTTTGTTTGGAGCAAAATTAAGGGGAATAGATAAAAAGGGTAAAGCAAAGAGCTTAAGGCTGGTGTCATATCCACACCAGCCCCTCGTATGGAGGGAGGAGAACCCTCAAAGGCCAACGAAATGAACAAACTGCACAGAGATGAGGCTGGATGGTTAACTCATGGACAGGGTTTTGTGTATTAACAGCCTCCTCTTCTCAACTTCTAAGACACCTTTAAAGTCAGTTTGTGTGCTCGCAGCCACAGGCACAAATGTAAAGGCACTTCTTGAAATGCTGCCTGCAAGGAGCCAGTTCACGCTGAGGTCCTATCTGATAGTGCTGGAGCAGACATGCCTTTCCACGGACCCAACTGTTTGGGTGGCTTACATTGGTGGAATGCTCTGCACCTTTGTTTTTCTTCTGTAGAAATATTTCTAGGCCCCATAAAGAGGCTAGAAATAATGGGTGAGGTGCTGTGCCCCATAAAGCTGTATTTCTTAGACACCTCCCCCTTTCTATGTGGGTGGGTGGAGTGGGTGCTGAGGGGTGGGGGGAACCCCCAGGGTAGGGGCTGACTGACCTTTCCCTCCAGCACTCCTGGCAAGGCTGGGTGGAGGGCACAGCTGAGATTTGCTACAGGACAGAGGGGAGGTCATGGCCAGAGAGAGAACTCTGTCCATGTAGACCCTTTGTACAGCTCTTCTGTTTCAGCTATCCTGGGTTCTGCAGGCAAAATATTAGCTTTCTTTGTAGACTTGAGGAAAAGCCCAAAGGAATGCCAGCTACCCACAGTGAGCTGGCCACAGGGGTGACAATAGCTGATGCTTTTCTTTTTTTAATGACAAAGTAAACATTTATTTTAGAAAGTCTGGGGCTGATACTTATCAATGGTTTTATCCAAATCTCCAAAAACAAGGGACGAGATATTAATCCACACTGGATTTGCTGCTCATGCGTCAGGAATAACAGCCCAGCTTCCTTGCTTACTGTGTGACCTCTGGCAGGCTTCCTAATTGGCATGTGTCTGTATTTTCTCGCCTGCAAAGTGGAGAGCAGCAGAGCTGTTACAGGCATTATATGAGGCACTGTATGTTGACCATTTAGCATGATGTCTGACATGTGGTGACCCCTCTGTTAAGTGACTTGAAGCCTGAGTACCATCTTGTAGCCAAGTCAGTTTCACATGACCAAGATTCAATGGAATCTGGGCCCTCTTTTCCAATAGAAGAACCAGTGGTGGATGAAAAACAAGACCAAAACCATGACATGAGTATCAAGCACATGGAATAAAGGTTACCCAGCAACTCAGAAAACACTAGCCACTTCTATGTGTTACCAGAAACCAACTTCCCATACGTGTACCACATCGTCACGGGCTGGCACATTCTAAGGGGAGTGATCTTTCTCCAGGAGGGTGAGTGCACTGATGAAATTGTGAAGGGCATGGGCCAACTTTTCTCCATATTTGAAGGCCTTTTTAAAGGAGGAGGGGAGGCAAAATATAGACTTGTGCCATTTGAAATTCTACAGAATAGTAGAGCAAGGTAGCATTTAAAATAATGCAAAAGAATAGCACCTCATTCTTTTGCAGGTTTTAGAAGTATCAAGTAATTCAGGCCTAGATAATGATTCTTATTGAACAAAGGCTTTGAAAGAGTCCTCAGATAACTCACTCTGCCTCTCCTTACTTAGGCCCCTATGGTAAAACATAGTTGTGGTATATTTGCTTTCTTATTACTCACTTATATCTTTCATTATAAAATATGAATCTTTCTTTTAAAATTATTGTATAACTTGGCATCCTCAACAAAGTGGAACGTTGAGTGTCCTCCTTACATACCCCCACCCAGACATACACCTAATAACTCTCAACTTGAGATTTGACTGTGCTAACCATCTTTAGCGTGACAAATCAGCATGCCTCTATCTTATAGAGGTATTTGTGAGCATTAGTTAATGAGTCATGTATTTCATATGCCTAAGTCATTCCCAGGGAGTAATTTAGGTTTTTAGGAAGCATATTCATCACCCTTTTAGGACTCTGGAGACCATTTAGTGCCTTGCTGCTGCATCACGGGCCTCTGAGAGTTAACGCATGCCCTCGTCTGAGTGCCTGGGAATGACTGAGCCACTGGGGAGAAAGAAGGTGCCTTGGAAAAGTGAACATGGCAGCAGCCATGTGCACATTCAAGGCCATGACCAGGCGTGTGCTAATTACCTGGTGAATCTGAGCCATTCGGACAGCTTCCAGCAACTTAGCAAGGCCGGCTTCCCTCCGTTGTGGATTAGGTTGTGAGGAGCTGTGACTGTGGGAAGATTGAACTCATTAGCTAGGATACATGGCACACTCCCATTCTGTGAAAGCAAAAGGACCGGAGAAGCCAATGGAAGCAAGATGGGAAGGCTGCCCAAGATGGGAAGTTACGGATGGCCAGCGGAGGCCCAGAAGTGTCAGGGGACCCACTCAAGGTCACCCAGCTAGGAGTGCCAGGGCTGGCATGAAAACGGCTTCCTGCACACTGGCCCCTGCCCATCATGCCCTGCGGGGGAAGGGAGCCCGTTCCTCGGAAAGGTCTAACCCCTCGGAAAGGTCTAACCTTCCTGGGGAGGGCTACCCACAGCACTGTGGACATTTCCTTTGGGCGATTCTGTCCCTGAAATTTATTTCCAGGTCGGGTTTCAGGTCTTACTGCTCTACACACGAGTGTAGAAATAATGCCGTGGTACATCTTTCACTGGGAGTTGGGGGGCCAGAGGGGACAAAGCTTGAGACTAAGATGGGCCAAAAAAAAAAAAAAACAATCCCAAACAAAGCTGTGTGGACAATGCTGCCATCTAGTGAGACACACTTCAGCTCACCTAAGAGGTAGACACCGACAGGCCTGATATTTAGGATCTCGTCATCAGTTATGTCACTTGTCTAAGATTAATAAAAGAAAAGTGGGCCATTTCCTCATTAATAATGTAGTCTTAATTTAACAGAGTGATATATGTTTGAGTTCAGTGTCCTCAGCTATACCCTTTAGGAAGGGCCTTGTCATCCAAACATATCTTCAGTGAAAATGGAGCCGGGTGTTGGCATGGGGCATGTGCACGTGCAGCCTGGCTCTCCTGCTTGTTAGCTGAGGGACATCTGGACCACACAGAGCCTCAGAGTCCTCTTCTACAGACTCTATTTCCTAAAATTGTTTTGAGGATTAAGCTCATTCTAAAATACTTTTTTGAGTTCTAAGCACTAGATTTAAATGAAACACACATATACACACACACACAAACATATGAGTTAGAAAAGGAGGTCCCCTACTGCAAAGTTCTACAAAATCCACATATGGACCCCACATAGAGCATGGCTGTCTGCCTTCCTTGGTAGCATAACTACACATTTAAAGGTGAGGTGCATGTACCTGGAACCATGCACATCCCCTGAAAGACCGCAGTGGAGCTGGGGAGCCCAAAGACCTGAGCACCTTACCTGGGAGCGTGGTAGATCTCAGGCACCTCGTGAACACCCTGAGTACAGCTACTTTGCAGGGCCCACTCTGGAGCCTCAGGATTCATTCCCAGCCCCTTTCAGCTGAGTTGGTGCCTGGGAGTTTTTGTTGAAAGTGTGTTTTGTTTTCCTCTAAGGACAGGTATGCTTTCTCATCTAAATAGGCTTTCTGGTAGAATGCAGGTGCTTTGAGGGATCAACTACCATGCTTAAGGCTGGGAGGCCCTTGCCCTCCAAATACTGCTCAAAGATGCATGCTGAGTCACACTGATGGGACTGGCTGCTTAGGCTTGTTAGCTGGACACTTTGTTGTCCATTAGGAGGTAAGAGGGAGGCAGGTAGAGAAATGAAAAGTCCGCAAATAATGTGAGAGAAGATGAGTGGGTGCTTTCTGGAAAAATGAGGAGCAGAAGGTGCTGTCCTGTGGTAAACATAGCTCAGAAGTATGGCTGTTCCAGGGAGTAGCCACACCTCCACTTGTTAGCGGGAGGCAGTGCCCTGGCTGGCTCCTTGGAGCCTGGATTGCCCCGGCTCGCAGGACGTATCTCAGCCATTGAAAGGGCACTTTGGGAGGAGATGACAGAATGCAAAGAATGAAAAATCTTAATTCCATTAACACCTCTGCCATTTGCATTGTGACCCTGGGCAGTTGCTCTAGCTGCAAGGAGAAAAACTGAAGTCCCATCTGCTCTCAGCTTTGTCAGCTTGTGAGTGAACACCTTGGAGTTTTTTACATTGCACATTCCCCCTTCAGTGGGCTTATCCTTCCCTGGTGTTGTCTTCAGAGTCACCAAGTTCACTGTCTCCCTACTTTGGGAGCCATTAGTGTAGTTTCATGGGAGCAAAAGTAATCATTACAGCTGAGACCTCCTGAGTACTGGCTCTATGCCAGGCCCTGTGCTTTGTGCCTTGTATGAGCTAACTTAGGTTAGCTTCCTGGCAGACCTACAAAGTAAGCACATCATTGTTCCCATTTTCAAGATGAGAAATGGAGGTACTTGTCTTTCATGTCAATGTAAATAGACACTGCCTACACAGAGGAATCCCACATTTCAGGACTCTGAGAAGTTTAGTCAGCAAGTGTTTTATTGAGCATTTACTTAGCTATTTGTTAGAATTAAGAAGTTTGGTAGATAGCATTTCTCCAAGCTTGTAATAATGTTTTATGTTAATAGTAAATGAAGGGAGTTCTGGTTTGGTCTGACTTAAAATATTCAGCAAATCCTGTCCTTGTGACTGGTTGTGTTCAGCACATAGTCCCCATTTTCATTTTCCCCGCCTCTCTACACACACCTTCTCTCTTTTTTGTTCTTCCTCTTTTAATTTAAATCACATACTCATCTCTTGAGAGTTTTAAGACTTAATTATTTAGCTTGTAAATTATTCATCATTTTCCCTTCATTCTACCACTGTATTTTGAATTCATCACCATTTATTTGCATCTCTGAGAAGGGGTGGGCAAACTAAGTGACTTAACAAGAAAATCAGTGGTTCTATCATTTGTCAGCATTTTACAAAAGATTTGGCAGAAAGGGCAGTGGGAACTAAAAGAGTAATTAAAAAGAAAGCCATTTATTAAAACATTGCAAACCTTCCTACCTCTTCTAAGTTGCTGCAAACTTCTAGACATCCAATAGGCCAAGTCGAACATGAGCAGTGCAGCATTTGGGTGAGTTGATGTAAATGTGTTAATTACAGTAACCATTCATTGACTGTTTTACATAAACATCATCCACTGAATACACATATGTGAGCAGATGATGCCAATTAGAGCCAAACATAGTCTCTCTAGTGTGGTGGTACACTGGTGAGGCCTGGATGCACGCACTTGCTTGCTGTCACTAGGAAGGCAGAGAAGGTGACGGGAAAAGGGGAAGAGGGTGGGTTGTACAGCACAGAGATGTCACAGGAGCCGTGCGGGAGCTGGAGAGAGGCAGAAGGCAGGGAAGCATGGCTTTACCCCTTGGGGAACACAGGCCCTAGGATTAGGCCTTGGGAAGCAGGAGTAGACTGGCTTGGCTGGGGATGGAGGAGCATGCTGCCAGGACACCTGGGGCAGGTGGCCAGCCTGGGAGGTGACTAGGCCTGGAGGGAGTGACAGCTCAGGGCCTGGGGAGGCTGGCAGGTTTCACAGACACATGGAACAAAGCCCAAGTCCTGGAGGGTTGGTGAGGTGTGAGACAGAGGATGTGCTCAGAGCAGACAAAGGGGTTGGGCCGAGGAAGACAGGAAGGAGTTTGGTCCTGGCACATGGCCCGGATATCTGGGGGCCTCCAGCCCTGAGATGGAGTGCGGCCTGGGGGTTAGAGGCCAGTGGTGCACAGGAGCCAGGCAGGCAGCAGGGAGGTCCTGCACTCAGCCTTCCAGAACCTGGGTCTGCTGCATCTGGTCAGTGTCCCCCAACCATATCATTCTGGTTTGTTGATCCCCAGACATGAAAGCAGTGTCACTACGTTGTAAACTCATCCATTTACTCATCCATTCAGCAAACATTTTTTTGAGCCAGGCACTGTAGCAGCTCCTGGGGACACAGAGCCCATGTAGGCCTAAAAGTAGGGCTCTGACTGGTATCAGTGCGTCTTGGTGCAGGAAGTCAGGGAGGGATAATGGGCTGTTGTGCCTGCACTGATGTGTGGGGTGGGAGGACATCCTGTGTGTGCTGTAAGGAATGGCACAGAGCCAGCCCCATGGCCCTGAGGGTGGACTATGACCTGACTCCCGGGTGGCAGGCTGGGGGCTCCTGCCGCCCAGCTGAGTTGCAACTATGGAGGAGGAGTACACTCTGACCACCCAGGCGCGGAGAATCTTGCCCCCCACCCCCAACCCCAGTCTTGGTGTCCACAAACACTGTGGGTCATAGGGATCCCACAACCTGGCTTTAAGACCTGTGTTAGCATTGTTTCCTCCTTTAAACAGCCTCCTTTTTAAAGCCACCCACTGATAAGATAAGTGATGAGTAACTCCATCAGCTTAGCCTATGACAAATATCACCGCTCATTTTGTCACTCCCATCCTGGAGGCCGAAGACTGTTCAGCTGAAGAATATGTCCAAGTTAGTATTTTTGTTCATTCAGTGTTTTGAGACACCCACATGATGCCCAGCATTCAGGGCTGGGAAGGAAAGATGTGTGAGGCTCAGTTCCCACTTCAGCGGTCTCCCTGAGCACCACTCCATTGACGTAGGTCAGGCTAGGGTCAGTGCCAGGCCAGAAGCTCAGGCGCTTCAGTGGGAAAACAGGGTGGAGAACAGATAAGAATTCCATCCAGGTGTCTGCGAAAATGCACCTTAATGTTGGTTATTTACAAAGCTATGAATTAGATGAGGTGTTCATATGAGCAGTAATCCAGAAATAGTGAATATTATATTATGGGATGAATAGAGGCCATGCTCTTGGTTCCATTTAAATCTTTCTGCTTCCCTTGTCGGCATAGTATTGGCACGCTGCTGTGGCCCCCGCGGGTTGGGCAGATGAGAAAGCACCAAAGATGGGCTCCAAGCCCTGCTTATCTCCCTCCCTGCTTCACCCAGCCTCTGGCCATTCACCCAGGAAATGTGAAGGGTCCTGGGCTACACTTACCAGCCAGGGTCGACTATGTGCTTATATTTTTGAGGCCAGAAGAGGCCATTTTGAAACATTGAGTTGAAAGGTCCTCTGGTCCCACAACTTCCCCCTGGGAAATGGCTCTGTTCCTCTCCTCCTGGTGATTTGGTGTTCCTCCCAGGGAGGCTGGAGGTGTTTCCCGTAGCGACATGGGAACGACTGTGACATGTTCTGGCATGCAGAGTTCACAGTTCGTATTGGGTGAGAACTAATTTTATAGGAGAAAGGCCCATGATAGGAACATTTTAGTGTTTTTGTTATAGTATAAAAAACCCACTTTCTAAGAAGACAGGATAATATTTTTTCATGCTCAATATTTTTCAAAGGAGTCGAAAAGTATGTAAAGTAGCTCAGATTGAAAATATTTTTCCTTGAAAAATGAGACTAAAGTGACTATTAGAATTATGTGTTTTTAATTACTGAAGAAAAAAACAGCTACTTTGAATGCCTAGTCACATAAATGTCACAATCCTGATTTGCCCAGATTTGCTCTTTTTTCTCTTGCCTTGCACATATGATGCTGTTAGCATTTTATCGCCGTGTGTGAAAACTGCCAAGATAATGACCATGTTAATTAATCTGGTCCCATGTATTTTCACCATAAACAGGAGCGTGACTGAGTAGGTCCCTCGTTCCTCCCACATCTGTCTCCCACCTTCCCTGGGGAGATGTGAATCTGAGTCATTGGAAAGATGGTGCCAGAGCTATACTTTGTGAGGGAAGGGCTCCCTTTCTTCACTGTTATAAATCTGACCTTTAAGTTCAATTTGCCTAGAATTGTATTTCTATTAGGAATGCTGCTCCAAGTCTGTATATATTCCAGGAGGGAAGATACTCAATCGATGGGTTGGTTCTGAGCCTGGCCCACAGAAGACCATGGCTTTCGAGGTATACTCACTTCCCCTATATGTATGTCTCCTGAAACAGTGAGTACTGGGGAAGAGAGGAGGTGACCCTGGGGCTGACAGAGACCCCCTTTAAGTCAGGCTTGCAGTTAGCAAGAAAGCTTATTCCAAGGGATGTCATTCCCTCTTGGACAGGGAAGGGAAGTTCAGTTTCTGTTACTTCTAGTGCTTAATAATTTAAGACTTAACATTGTGTTCACTATCAAAAAAGTTCATCTTCATGTGTGCACATTCACATGTGCACACAAGCACACAGCTCTTCTGGTAGACCTGGGATAAGTTATAATTTACCGACATTTAAGAGTAGAATTGGCTGACAAGATTATAGTACATCAACATGAAAAATGAAATTATATTTCAAGTTCATTGTATGTAACCATGTTTATCCTTGGAAGGAGTGTTCTAATCCCTTAAGTATTTGAAGCAGTAAACTATGTTTGGAAGAATGTGTAAATTACTTAAAATGTTTATCTTTTTAGAAATTTTTGTCTTTTGGTTAGTTTTCTGAATCATTTAAGTTAAAAATTAAGATGATTTTCTAAGACTCAATATGAAAGACACCAGTCCACCACGGGGAATGAGGTGGGTGTTTCCTACTTTCCAGAGGTTCATTAATATTTATGTCCACATCATACCATTCTTACATTGCTAGTGCTTGATTTATTTAGTTTTAGATTACCTATTACAGCAGTTCTCAACGTATACTCCATGGACTATTTGAATTGCTAAGATCCTTCTGTTGGGTCCATGAGACCAAAATTTTTTTAATTTAATACTCAGACATCATTTGCCTTTTTCACAGTGTTGACGTTTGCTCTGCTGGTGCCAAGGCAGCAGTGGGTGAGACTGCTGGCATGCTTCCACAAGTCAGGCAATGGCCACAAACAATACTAGTCATTGTATTCTTCATCATCATGTTTGGAGTTTTTTCAAAAGTGCAGGTCCACTTAAGAGTGCCCTTGATGAAGCAGTGTAGAAATGTGCTGAAATGTGAGGCGCTCAGGTGGGGGCCATGGTTGTCTCAAGAAAACACATTCATACAATTGCCTGAGTTGCAAGCTGCGGGCCTCCCACCCTCCATGGAACACGTTTTTACTTGAAAGAACAATTGGCAGGCAAACCATGGTTATTCAGACTTGAGTACTTGGGAGACATTTTCTCAAATATGAATGCAAGAGCTTGCCACTTAAGAGGAAAACAGTAAGCAGGGTTGGTTGCTCAGTGGTAAAATTTGAGTTTTTATTTGAAGGCTCAGATTTTGAAAAACTTGATTCTGCCACCACGAACCTGAAAGCTTCCCAACATGTAAAGACTTTTCTGATAAGGTCTGTGATGATATTAACAACTATGATTTTTTTTTGATGCTGCATAATGAAATATATCAACATCTGGAAGATAGGTATAACTCAGTAAACCAGTATTTTCCAAATCCCCTGTGCATTGTGGGACAAAAATCTCATAACATAGTATCCATTCAAATTGCAAGGTAGCCTAATGGATTTTAGTACAATAGAAGAGTACACATTTATTAGTGTATTTTTCAGATGGCTCATTTCATTGAACCTTTAAGAAATTGTCAGTTGTCAATTTTTAGTATAGTATCAAAGAAGAATATCCACAATTACCTGAAAAGACTATTAAAACTGTCTGTCCTCTAGTTACCAACTACACACATTTGGTCACCTAAAACAACACATCCAGATACAAGCCAGGTAATTGAAACAACATAAGCCAGGCTTTAAAGAGATTTGTGAAATTGTAAAACAATGTCAGTCTTTGTCATTAAGATTTTTTATTTGGAAAAATGAATATATTTCACAAAATATGTTATTTATGCCAACATAAAATGGGCTTATTTTAAAATAAATAAATGCATATGTATTTCTTAAGTTTAATTTCTAAAATGGTGAATATCAGTAGATTTAAGAGGAGCAATGAGCTCAGACTGATGCAGGTCAGGAGGATCTGGGAAAGAAGTCTTGGATATGATGTGATGATGATCATGATAGCTGGTATGTTTGAACAGTTCAAGAGCAGTTACAGAACACAGAAGAGAGTCTGGGGCTGAATTAGTGATAAATACACAGAAAATTAAACAAATTGAAAAACAGAAATATTGTGCAATAAAGGAAAAGCTCTTTGGGGTCCTATAATTTTAAGATTGTAGAAGGTTCCTGAAACCAACAAGTTTGAGAATCACTACCTAACCATCAGGGAACAAAAAGATTTAATTATTTCACCACTACTCACCCCCAGCCCACATGTACACTCAGTTCTTGTCTTTCTGTCACTCTGATAGTTAGTCATAATTTTGGGTCCATGAATATCCATGATTATTATAATGGAAAGGATATACAAAGGCGTTGCGGTGACTATATAAAGGCCATTGAAGCTGAGCCATGTAAGTGTGGTTACTTTTCCTTTAAGTGTGTAAGGGGGTAAATATTTTGATACCTTAGATCTGAAATATCTCTATTGTTTTTTGACATTTGATTAATAGAGTTCTAGGTTGGAAGTCATTTTCCCCCAGATATTTTAAAGGCATTTCTCTAATGGCCTTTTAGCTTCTAGGGTTGATGTTGAAAAGTCTGAATCTTGATCACTTATATAAAACATTTCTCATCTGCTGCTGTCTATCTGAGGAAGTGCTTTACACCTAGGGTGAAATTTCATAAGGATATATCTTGGGGTGGATCTAATGTTATCCACTGTGCTGGCACTCATGCGCCTGTTAGTCTACATCTCATGTTGGCCTATTCCAGGAAATTTCCCTCAGTCATTTCTTCACTAGTTTTTGACACCTCCATTTTCTTTGTTTATTCTTTCTGGAACTCCTAAAATTTGGCTTTATTTTCTGGTTTAGAAAAGGTTTTTATCTTTGGTTTCCTATTTGCCAGTCTCTCTTTTATTTTCCTGTATTTTCTGGAAGATTTCTTCAGTTTTATCTTTTAGCTATTTTATTAAGGTTTTCATTTCTATCATATTTTTTAATTTCCAAGAGCATCATTTTTTGTTGTTATTGTTCTTTCCAAATCTTCTTTTTTTTAAAATGGCATCCTACTCTTGCTCTCTGGATGCAAGGGTCGGGGTGCCATCCCACTACCAGCGGAAGGGAGCTGGGCTCTAGCTGCTTCAACAGAGTTTCAACCAGCGCCCTTGGCTTAGCTCCACCATCACCCCTGCTTCCTGTGGCATCTGGTGTTGTCTTTCTTGAGCCTTTGGGGGGTTTTGAGGTGTAAACTGGGCTGTTGGCAGATTTGCCCATTGCTAGCTTGAGAATTTTCTTTCTTGGGCTTGCGAAGTCAGTGGCCACTCACCCATCTTGGTTCCAGCTTTCAAAACTATTACAGTTGCTGCCTCTCCCATTTTCTTTGGCCTTGTGAGTTTATGTCCTCTTAAAAACCTTTTATTGTCATTTTATTAGGATTTTAGGAAAGAGCAGTGCTAAATGCATGTACTCAACCTGTTATCTTGTACCAGAAGTTTTTTTTAATATTTAAAAAGCATAAAAATACCTTTAAGATTTTTTTTAGTAGATGAAATGCTAATAGTAGACAGCATTTATTCAGCCTCTTCTACTTCTCTAACAGTTCTTTTTAAATTTACCCATATCTGCAATACTATAGACCTAAGAGAAAAGTAAGCAGTTTGATTTTGTTTCCAATATTGAGCCATCATAATGTAATAGCAAGTTCAGACTCAAGTAGATCTGGGCATGTGGGTGTGTTGAAGATAAAGTCACTATTGGGTATTTTATGGCTACTCTGGTTTTCTGGATTGGGATTTTACTTGGCTTGGTCCATATATAGTCTATCTCTTCCTCCCTTTCCTTTTCCAGAAACAGTTCAAATTATGGAATAAATTGAGAAGATAAGTTAGGTGGTGGAGGGGACACAATGTAAGGAAAATATGGAACCTACCTGTTCATGAGGAGTGAACCGGGTGCCAAGTAGACTTCACGATGTGCTACCTGGGAACCAGTCCTCCAGGTCCCTTGGGGTGCTGGAGCCCATGCCTACGCCATGCTGGGGTATTTACACCTTGGAAGATGGCAAGGCTATAAATTGTGGTATTTTCCCTTGGAAAGCTGCTTTTAAATATTTACCATCATAACATATCTAGACCTGACTTTACTCTCAGGACAACCTGATAAACCCCCAAAGCTTTGTAATTATGTAATTATATTTACATTATATGACTTCATATTTACTCACCACACTATGGCCCAGGGAAGCAGGTGATATGAGCAAAGTACAAAATGTGCAGCCAGACAGCTTGACATTTCGACCCTTCCACAGCTACTTTTAGCTCTGTGACCTTTGGCAAACTTCTGTGAGCCCTGACTGAATTTGTAGAACAGGGGAAACAATTTCTACCTAGCTGGGTTGTAAAAATTAACAGCTGTGACAGTCTGCCCTCCCAAAACTATATCCTGCAGAAAGCCCTGGCTCCAGGTAGGTACCTCTGAGGCCTGTTTCTCTGCTACAGCAGGATTGTGATATCTTTGGTTAGGAGCCTTATTCTGGTAAAACAGAATACTAATTTCATGTTTTGTTTAGCTGGTCTCCAAAATTTATGAGGCCACTCAAGAATGTAGGATCAGTGTACTTCAGAATTGCACAAGACAGTAAATCTCACACTTTCTCAGAATCCCAGAGGAGGAGAAGTTTGGTTAAGGGTCAGTAACTTAAAGCCCCACTAACAAATTATCCAGCTATTCAAAGTTGTATCCTGCAGTTAAGGTTGAAATACTGAAGATGTTCACGTATTTGGACCTAATCAACCAAATTCTTTTTTTATTCACCCACTCTGAATTATGTCTTCATCTTCTACCTTGAAGCTTTCATCAGAAATTACTGTAAGAAACAAGTTGTTGCTTCTGCATTTGCTGTGACTTTGAGTAGAAATACCAACTACCTGTTACATGGCTCAATGTCCTTGGTTTACAGTGCCCTGCATAAGACATCTGTCCTTGACACCGGGGATAACCTTGTCTCTCTTGAAGAACTGGCCTGTTTCATCTCTTCATGTGACAGCTGTGTCACTCACAACATTTCCTTATTCCTCTCTGGGTGGGAATGTTAGAATCAAGTTTTAACATCAGTCATCAGAACTATGTATACTTCTGTTGGGCATGTTAGAGCTCTCCTCTCCACTCTGTTTTCCACGTGATCATTTCTATTTTATTAATTTTATTGTATTTGCCTATTTTTTTTAAGTGACACATTGCTTTTGAAATAAATAACTGAGTGAGTCCTAAATGTGGGGAGGAAGGTCAGTGATAATAACGAGCCATATCGTACATACATTGTGCAGTGTGAGATGTGGTTATGGGAAGGGGCACCTCGGGGTGGGCAAGAGAAGATAGAGGAGACGTGAGAGTGTCTTTGAATGTCTGAGATGCTGTATTTTGGAAGAGGTGGTGGGCATGATTTTTATTGCTCCTGACGACAGAATAAGAGCCCCTGTAGACTTGCGTTAACTGGACCTGTCCTTCTAAGTTACTTCTGTGGGCCTGTCAAGACACTGGGCGGAGACCCGATGGACGAGACAGGTTCCCTGCTCTCAGTCTCTTCCACTTCGGGGAAGCAGTTTTTGGCTGACTGCAAAGGACAACTTTCTAACAGTCAGACTTATCCAATAATGGGATGCACTGTCTTGCAAAGTGGAGGTGCCCATCTCTGGAGAATCCCCAAAAGGGGCTGAATGACAAGGACCCTGAAAAGTGCCCCTGCATCAGAGAGAGGGTGTATTTGTTGACCTCTAAGTTTTGGCCCTGCTCTGCTCCCATGATTTTCTTTTATTTGGAAGTTTTTGTGGTAAACTGAAGGATTAGGTTGTTTCAAAGTCAGTGGGCACTCTGGAGGGGGAGGGGAAGGCAGTAAAAATGCCTTCACAAACCTGGTCCTTTACTCTGTAACTCAGGCGGTTTCCACAGGTCTCTGGACCCTCTATAACCCTGGCTGCCCATGGTGGCTGATTGGCAGCCATGGTTCTAAGGAACCTATGGTATATCCTTGTGGAGACTTACTGGCTTTCTGAGCTGTGGTGAGGATTGCTTTAAACATTGACAGAGACTAGTCCTGTCTCTCTGTCCTCCGAAATGAGAGCAGGAGACAGACACCAGGGCTGGTGCTGATACCTGGTCTGAAGCCCACCCCTCTCTCTATAGGGGGATTGGGATGGGGGACTGAAGCTATTGTCAAGAGCCAGGGGTGGGCTGAGGAGAGGTGAGCCTGTTCCCGGATGTGAGCCAGGCCATCACTCCATGTGCTACAGTAAAGTCCAGCAGCTTGCAGTGGAAACGAGGTAGAGAGGACAGAGAATTTCCCAGTATAAATTCCTTAAAGAAAAATTCAACTCTGAAGAATTTTGTCCCCATATTTTTTTTTTTTTTACTCACTCTTAAGGGAATTAGAACCTCTTTGAAATAACTTTTAACTTACAAAAAGTTGTAAGAATAAAAATAGTACAAAGGACACCCATATTCCTTGTGTCCAGGTTAACTATTATTCACTATTTTTTTTTCTGAGACATTTGAGAGTAAGATGCACATATCATGAACCTCTACACCTAAATACTTCCATGTGTATTTCCTAGAAAATGGGATATTCTTTTGTGTAGCCAGAGTAGAGTTATCAACTTCAGTGAAATTAATGTTGAGGAGTAACTTTATCTCATCTGCCCTCCTTATTCCAGCTTTTTTCAGTTGACCCAATAATATCCTGTATGGCTGTTTTCCTCCAGTACAGGGTTCAGTCTGGGATCAGAATGCAATGAGCTGTCTCTTTTTGAAGATCTTTGAACAGTAACATTATTACAGTTAATTGGTCATCTTATGGGCTTATTCGAAATCTTTAGATAAAAACACATCTAATTTTATGGTATATTTCGCTTACCACTATTCTTTTGTTCATTTGAAACACTGAGGCTAGATTGTCTGGACGCCACACCTGCTCCCGTGCTGTGGATTCACCTGTCAGGTGGAAAGGATGGGAGTAAGGAGCTTTGAGGATGTCTTCTATACATGGTTGACTTTTCTTTATTTGATTTAAAACACAAAAATAGATCAGAGACTGCGATCATTCTCCAATTCCCCTGTTGTCAATCCAACTTGATGTCAATCCAGCTTTTTGCCTAGCAGGTTTTTCCTTCACCCTTGAGGAGAAAAAGAGAATCATCTTAAAATTCTCTGCTTTTCTTGAGACAACACGCTCTTATGAATCTAGAAACAGATAAAATACCTTTACATTTACTCAGCACCCTTATCTCAGCACTTTTATGTATTTTATGAGTCAATAATAGCAACACATGTGATAATTAAGTATCTATGCCTACAGTGCTTTGGTTGCTCAGTAAAGGGTATATTCAGCAGTTCTGGTCTCAGCCCCTGGAACAACTTGCATAACATGCATCAATATGGACTATAAATATAATAACACATCTAACACTTGCAAGACATAACACAGACTTAGAATTATTGGGATGCTTTTTCAGATGCTAATGTTTGCTCACAGAAAAACTGAATAATTTGCCAAAACTTTCTTAAAAACATCAGAGCTACCATCCCACCTTTTTTGGTTTAATCCTTCACTTTCAAAATGCACTATATGAATGTTTTATTTAGTATCTACTCTAAGGAACAGATGGGTGGTGGAAAAGTAATAGAGGGTACTGTTTTTTTAAGAAGTTACCAGAAATCTGGGACACAGCTTCTTTGAAAATAAAAGATTAAATGGAAAGCAATTGGCTTCTCATTTCCTAAGGTTCAGTGTTATATAGAAGAGTCTTCACTGTGGTCTGTGTTTAAAGGCTGAGGGGCCTCTGGAGGCTGTTGGAGGGTCAGATTGGTAACAGTTGCTAATTTATCTTGCGTAACTTAGACTTTTTTTTTTGACTCCCTTTTCACCTAGTTTATTTTACCTTTGCCTATTTTATTACAAGTTATAGATAGAAAAAAATTGGACATTAAAAATGACACCTAATTTTTAAATATTTTCTGAATTTATGGTGTCTAGATTCATCATTGTAACCCTGGAGAGGCACAAAGCAATTAGATAAAGAATGAAAGATCTTTGAAGTTACCTGTTCGTTGGCTAGCCGAGGATTCCCTAGACCCTTGCTATGGAATATGGTGGCCATCAGCCATAGGTTGCTTTCCAGCCTTTGAGACATGCTGTATGTAAATACACTTTTTGGTTTCCAAGAGTTCATACAGGAAAAAAGAATGTAAAGTATCTTACTAGTAAGTTTCTTTTAGATTGATTATATGTTGAAATGATAATATTGGCTACATTGGGCTAAGTAAAATACATTATTAAAATTAATTTCACCTGTTTCTATGTTTTTAATGTGGCTACTAGAACATCTAATTTAACATGCAGCTTGCATTTGTGGCTCCATTACATTTCTGTTGGACAGTGCAGATCTAGAAGGAAAGAAAATATAGAGCAAAACCCCCAACTCATTCAGTTTGAGAGTGCATTACTGAAGGGAAAGCTGAATATCCAGTGACCCCAATTTTTTTTTTTGTTTTTGGTTAGGTTTGGATTTCATTAAAGCTTCTTCAATTAAATCTATTGTTAATCTACTTGAAGGTCCCACTGGAAAGAGAATTGAATCTTTTTGTTTGCTTAGAAAAGAATTCTAAGAAAATCCTGAACTCATTTCAAAAGTGATTTATTTTTAAAAGCTTTGTAAAAAGTTTTCTATTTCCTGAGATTGGAGGCATGACTAATATTGAGTTCTTAAGAGGCTAAAGAATTGTGAAAATTATCCAGAAACTTCTGAAAGGCCTTTCAGGTCCCATGGAGAGGCATCCAGGGAGATATAAGGGCCCTTAGTAGTCGCAGATCAGCCATACGCTCCTGTGTTCACACCTTCAAACATTGGGAAAGATAAAATATTTATTCCTAAGTGTCTATAACTGAATTTATGGATATAACTTGCTGGATATTATTGCCTGTGTAAACCCATGTAACTGTGCACGTAAAGCATGTTTTTATTAGTTCCTACATAAAATTTTTATGATAATGGC